AAATCTACGGTCAGCATCATAAACAATCATAGATTTGTGTGATTTTGCTGAAACACGCTTTGCTATCTGGGAAGATAAAGCTTTTTCCCAGGATATTTTATACCATAACAATATCTTTTAAAAGATATTTTTAATTGAAAAATATCTTTTAAAAGATATCTTTAATTGAAAAATATATACTTTTTTCTTGATATTATGTCTGGTATATTGTATGGTATAATTTTTTCTATGACATACGAGGGCAAATCAATAAGTATCCGTGTTTCAAGACAAGCGACGTTGCTGATGCAAGTTGGCATTACCATTTTTGTGTACTACCATCTTTCAAACGACGCCATACAAAATTTCAGAGTGATTCATGCAATAGTCTTGACAGCAATTCGTAGTGAGCGTGTTTGATGTTTCCCGATACAATGAAAAAAGAGCAATATCAATCCGTGATCTTATTTTTGGATGTAAAAACGTGAAGAAATAAAAACGAAGTTGGATGCCCTTTCTGGAAACTCTTCACCATCTATGACAACTGTCAGATATTGGTTCAACGAATTTAAACGTGGTCGTTTTTGATGAGGAGCGCCCAGGCCGCCCGGCAGATGTGGTTACTGATGAAATCATTGAAAAAGTCCACGACATGATTCTCGCTGATCGCCGAATGAAAGTGAATGAAGTAGCAGAGGCCGTAAGCGTGTCGTACGGGATAGCATTCAATATTTTGCATGATAACTTGGGAATGAAAAAGCTGTGGGTGCCGCGATCAGGACAATGCACCGGCTCACTCCTCCGCAGTCGCCACAGCCAAATTGGTCGAATTGCGCTACGAATTGCTGGCGCATCCATCGGATACTTTCCGGATTTAGCCCCCTATAACTTCTTCTTGTTTCCAAACTTGAAAAAATGGCTCAGTGGAAAGAAATTCACGAATGAAGAGGTCATCGCCGAAACAAAGGCTTATTTTGCAGAGTTCGACAAATCATATTTTTCTGAGGGGTTAAAAAAATAGCAGAAACGTTGGGAAAAGTGTATCCTCCTAAAATTACATTGAAAAATAAAAAAAATTTTTGTGAAAAGCTTGCGTCTTCATTACTAACACGGGTACTTATTGATTTGCCCTCATATATGTATGTAAGCAGTATACAGTGATGGCAAAAAGTCCCGGAATGGTCAAATATTTCAAAAACCATCGGTATTTAAAAAAAACGCTGAAACACGTGAAACGATTTTTCAAAAAATCTATTTTTTGAGGGGGGTTAAGACCCCCCACCCCTAAGGGGGCACGTGGGGCACGAGGGGGGTCGAAAATCTTAAATGGCAACATAGGTCGAGTGGGGGCTCATTTGAAAGGTCTTCTCAAGACGAATCCAAAACACTCCGCATAGAGGGCGCTGCGTTCACTTTTGGCGGGAAAATGCAATTTTGAAAATTTTTTAGTCAGAAACATTAAAAAAGTTTAGTGTTTCGATAATCACCGGAACACGTGAAACGATTTTTCAAAAAATCTAT